ATAAATTTTGGTCAATGACATAAGACAAAGTATATGTGAACTGCTGTATGAAAAGTGAATTTACTCTGTAAATCTTCACCCAAATTCTAATTAAAAAAAAAAAAAAAGATAAGGACATGCAAATCTACAGCCAGAATGTTAAACAATCCTTGTACCTGCGGCTCATACAGAATCTGAAGCACTTCAACAATAAACTCATTTCTCCTTGAGATGCCTCCTGGCCTTGAGGGCAGGGTTCTTGTAGCCCAGAAACCTGATACTGCACCACAGAGTGACAGCACTGCACCTCTTGTGGGCCGGTCCTGTCATCACTCTCTGCTCCCAGACAGACACAAAGGGTTCTGTGTCAGGAGGGGCCCATGTCCCTGAAGGACCCGTATCTCTGAGGGGTCTGTGTCAGGGCCCATGTCCCTGGGCGGGTCCATGTCGTGAGAGGCCCGTGTCTGTGAGGGGTCTGTGTCACAAGAAGTCTGTGTCCGTGATGGGTCTGTGCCACGAGGGGACCATGGAGTCTGGTCATGAGGGGCCCGTGTCTGTGAGAACTCTGTACCAGGAGGGGCCCGTGTCCCTGAGGGGGCCTATGTCACAAGAGGCCCATGTTCTCAAGGGGTCTGTGTCATGAGGGGCCTGTGTTATGAGGGCTCCACGGAGTCTGGTCATGAGGGCCCCGCATCCATGAGAGCTCTATGTCGTAAGGGGCCATGTCCCTGAGGGCACCTGTGCCAGGAGGGGCCTGTGTCCCTGAGGGGTCTGTGTTGTGAGGGGTCCGTGTCCCTGAGGGGGTCTGTGTCGTGAAAGGCCCATGTCCCCGAGGGGTCTGTGTCATGAGATGCCTGTGTCTCTGAGGGGTCTGTGTCATGAGAGGCCTGTATCCCTGAGGGGTCTGTGTTGTGAGAGACCCATGGAGTCTGGTCATAAGGGGCCCGCGTCTATGAGAGCTCTATGTCATAAGGGGCCGATGTCCCTGACGAGGCCTGTGCCAGGAGGCACCCATGTCCCCGAGGGGTCTGTGTTGTGAGGGGCCCATGTCCCTGGGGGAATCTGTGTCATGAGAGGCCCATGTTCCTGGGGAGGTCTGTGTCATGAGGGGCCTGTGTCCCTGGGGGAATCTGCATCATGAGAGGCCCATGTCCATGAGGGGTCTGTGTCATGAGGGGCCGACATCCCTGCGGGAGTTTGTGTTGTGAGGGGCCCATGTCCCTGAGGGGTCTGTGTTGTGAGAAGCCAGTGTTCCTGAGGGGTCTGTGTTGTGAAGGGCCCATGTCCCTGAGGGGCCCAAGATGAGAGGCCTATGTCTGTGAGGGCTCTGTGTCATAAGGGGCCTGTGTCCATGATGGTTTTGTGTTATGGGGGGCCTGTGTCCCTGAAGGGTCCATGTCATGAGAGGCCCATGTCCCTGGGGAGTCTGTGTTGTGAGGGGGCCATGTCCCTGAGGGGTCCATGTCATGAGCGGCCCATGTCCATGATGGTTTTGTGTTGTGAGGGATCTGTGTCTGTGAGGGTTCTCTGTCATGAGAGTTCTCTGTCACGGGGGGCCCATGGGCGCAACCCACATGCAGGAAATGGCTGAGGGTATAGCTAGCCCCACACAGGACAGGGCTTATGGACACCACAGAGCCACTCTGTTCCGCCTAACAGTCAACAACTAGTGGGCACATCCATGGTAATTTTATGATCTCCACCACTACCACCACTAGAAAGAATCTCACTGGCTCCAAGTTTCTCCCTCACATAATTTGAGGTGTGGATGCAGACACTGTGGGCCTGCGCTGGCTGTTTTCCCACCTTCACTGAGGGAAGAAACGAGCCAGGTGACTGTCTGGGGGCAGCTGGAAAATAGATTCACTTGCTCAGCTCTTACCTATGAAGTCATTACTGAAAAATTCACCTCCTCAACATCCGGGAGATAAATCTACACGGAAAATGGACTGTCTGTGAGGTGGCCTGTAACAGGAGAGAATGTGGCATGGATGACAGAGAACACCATGTGTGACGGGAGAGTGTGATGGAAAAGAGCATGGCGCAAGATAGCAGACAGCATGAAGCCCATAAAGCAGATTTTCCTGACGGGAACAAAGCACACTGACTCCAGCAGCCAGTGGCCAGCTAGCCCAGACCCGCTGCTGATGGGAAAGGACAGATTATCTGGGTTCTCCAAAGAAGCCTATGAAATGCCACCACCACGAGGCTGGTCATCCCAAAACTGTCGGGGGACAATTATGTGTCACTCTGAACTCAGTCAATGCAAGAGCTGGTGATTAGCATTATTGATCATTTCACTGTGCCAGAATTTCAGTTTTACCGTGGATCAAAATTACATTCTCAATATCGAGTCTGAAACAAGCATCTTCCTCATGACAGGTCAGGGTGGAAGGGAGGGCCATTCCCTCCACCTCGTGCCACCCAGATTCCCTGCTACCTACAAGAGGGACAAGAGGATCATCCCAATAAGAACTAGACAGGCAGGGCGAGAGGAGGGGGGGAGGGTGGGCAAGGAGGCTGCAGAGCAGCAAGGTGGCAGGCGAGCCTGCTAAGAGGTGTGGAGGCTGCGAGGAAACCCCTGCCCATCCTGTGCCCGCCAGCTTGGCCCAGGAAGTCCTCACCATAAGCACCCACCAGCTCAGGAGACTGGGAGGTAATTTTTCTAGGGTTACCTCACAACCAGTACTACACTTAAAATGACACAACCCCCTGTTATTCTATACTTTTGCTGCTTCAGTGTAGCACTTAGTGTGATGATCTTCAAATTCCCATTCCTTTGGTAATCACTAGAAAGAACAAAGTAAGGATGCAATTTCTACTAGTGCTTCTTATGACAGACATCTATATCCCCGCTCAGATTCCATCAAAGGCAGAAAGGCGCCCTCTCCAAAAACAGATACACGCATCCACAAGGTCTGTCCCGAGCCTGAGGGCTGGTGGACATGCTGCAGCTATGTATGCTCACAACACAGAACCAAGATTTGGTTTTCCAGGTCCACACGTGAGCCAGCCTGAACCATCAGATGGAGAAAACCCTAAAGTGTGCATTTCCACACAGGCAGCACCCAAAACATCCAAACACAAATGGTCACACGAGGTGGAACTGCTTCTCAGGGGCCTGAGGTTCGCTGTTCTACAAATGTTCGAGCTACAGTGGTATATCAGAGGGACAGTCTGACAGGAACAGAGGCCACACCTGGGTGAGAAGCTGGTCAGCCGACAGCTGGTTGATCCAGCGCGTGTACCGCTCAGTGGAGCCTGGAGGGTCTCTTCTTACCTGGCAGCCGATAATCTGTAAGACAGAGCAAACATGGAGTTGAGAGCACACACGTGTACACATCAGGCACTGGCATGGGTTCGTATGTCCAGAGAGGATGCAAAATCAGCTGGGTTAGGATGGAGCTGGGTAGAAACTTCCTGGAACAAGCAGGAAAGAAGAGGAGATGACCATACCACCCAGGGTGAGAAAGAGGGCTCAAGAGACAAGTCCCATGCTGTAGGGTCTTGGTGGAAAACAGACTAACACTGTTCTTAGCTGGATCCAGAACACACACAGGTAACATTTTCCCTCTAACATATTCAAGTTAAAATGGCCCACATACAAGTGCAAAGTTCAGATTTACTTCAAAGGCACCTCTCCACTCACTCCTTGCACCATATCTCTGAGTGGACCCAAGAAAGCTCCATCACAGCTTTGGAGGCAGCAGATCAGAACCATCCCACTGCTGACAAGCTCCATCAGCCTCACAAAAGCAACTGCTGTGGCTGAGGTGAGGGGTCATCGCGTCAACGCCACAGAACAAGACAACGCCCAGTCCTGTGCCATCTTCACAAACGCTGCCACCGTCGAGCCAATTCTGCTGCAGCCACAGTGACAACCCATCTCGTTAAGGGCCTTTGTCTTTTTCACTTGCCCTCTATTTTACCAAGCATTATGTCCTTCTCCAGGGACTGGTCCCTCCCAATAACATATCCAAAGTACACGAGATGAAGGTTCACCATCCTTGGTTGCAAAGAGCATTCTGGCTATACTTTATCCAAGATAGATTTTTTTGCTCTTCTGGTAGTCCATGGTTTATTCCATGGTAAAAGTTCTAACTTCTAGATAACCAAGTCCCTGCATTAATGGCTCATGATCTTGGGAGGCCTAGCCTCCTCCCACTGCCTCCTAGAGTCCCCACAGCCCAGACCCTTCTCACTGTGGAGACACCTCTCCACAGCCCCTCCCCTGGGCCACCACACACCCAAACCCACCTCAGGGAAGTCCTCATGAGCTGCCTTGTAACTCTCTTTCTTTCCATTTCCGGCCATATTGTATGGGATCACATACACAGATCTGATCCTAGTTTCCCACCATCTTCTACCTTTAGTCCTTGGATCTAGTACCTCCCTCCTTCTAGTGATCACATGCCTCCTTCCTCACACACAATCCAGCAACCAAACTGCTCACCCTGGCTTCCAGAGCTCTGTTCTGCTCCACTCCTTGCCAATCTGCATGCCTTTTATTTCCTTTTCTTGTCTTACTGCATTGGCTAGAACTTCCAGCCTGTGTTGAGTAAATGGGGTGAGAGTGGACATCCTTGCCCTGTTCCTGATCTTAGAGAGAAAGCCTTCAGTCTTCTACCATTAAGTACTGTGGTGCAGTGATGTACTTGGTATGGTTTTTCTAGCCATGATCTTTGTGACTCCCACCAGATGGGTGGAACCTGCTTGTGGCTCATCAAAGGAACTGGATAGCTTGCTAATAACATAAATGAAGTACATGGCACCCTTGTGGGGGTGGAGCCATGCCAACAAGGTATATGGGACCCTAATGTGGGGATTGGTCAGCTTTGCCATTCTGCTAGGCTTAAAATGAGCTTTCCTAGAGGCAGAAGGGGGATCTCACTGCCATCAAGATAAAAGATCTGGACGTGGAGTAGAACGCATCTTTGGACCCAAGATCCTGCACTGGACTTCCTTGGCAGAGATGACGAGCTGAGATGACCAGTCGGCTGAGAGACAGTGGCAGCAGAACCAAGAGGCACAAGACTGAGCAATGAGCTTGCCAGCCCATGGAGTGAAAAAGCTGAGTGATTTTGGGCAGGAGGCTTGCTGGCAGAGGTAAAAGAGTTTTGTAACACTTGCCTGAGCAGGGCAGAGGGCAGGCCATGGGCCAGAGGCGTGGTTGAGGGCGTAGCAGAGGGGAAACTGTCCTGATCGAAGTACTCTATCTGGAGTGCATTCCTGAACCTGAACTGTAGCCTATTACTTCCC